CGCCGGCGCCAGGAGAGGATGTGAGAACAGCCTGTTCCGAGGCTTCCGCCCCCCTTCACCCGTCGGCGGGGGCAGGGCCGTGCGGGTTGAGGACGGGGCCTGAGGGGGAGGCGGAGACCGGGAGTGTCTGGAGACGTCTGCAGTTTTTAGGAGACCGGGGATGGCGGGCCCTGCCCCCCGGGGGCCGAGCCCCACGGCTTTTGGAAAAGGCATGTTTTGGAGGGGGAAGGTCTGGGCCAGAGCAGCAGCGGGGTTTAACTCTGAAACTCAGTGACAGGTAAATGGGCGAGGGACGTCAGGAAGACCCCACCGGGCCGGCCCCGGACGGGAGGCTGAACGCTGGGATTTTCACCCACCATTTCCCAGTTTGGAAATCGGTCTGACCCCGATTCCCGCTCTAACCGCAAGTCTTCTCCAGGCCAGATGCAGATCTGGGGCCCCCGGGGCTGGGGGGTGGGTTGCCTTCTGCCTGAGCCACCCCCTGGATTACTGCCAGACCGAAGGGGCAGCAGTCCCAGGCAGCCACCAGCCAGGGTGGGCGGGGAGGGTGTGGCCTGGGGCCCCTCACCTGGGCATCCTGCCGCACAGGCCGGATCGACTGAGCTGGAAACCCGGTGCTCTTCGTGTCCAAGCTCCAGATTTTAAAAGTTGGCTTCTACTTCTAAAGCTGACACACTCATAGGCTGGGTCTGGCCTCCAGTATGTGACCTCTGAGATAGAATCCCACTCTCCTTTAACCTAGGGATATCCCACATGTTGCATGCTGGATGTCTGTTGTTTGATTAGAAGGAAAAGAAGTTTGCAAGGCTGGAGTCCCCTGGTTCTTAGGGACGTGTGGCGTCTGTGGCGGTGACAAGTGTTAGAGAGGCCGGAGGAGGGGCTCTTGGCCCATACCCCCTTGTGGGTCACTCCAGGCAGCTGCCCCGCTAGTGAACACACAAGTCATTTCTATGAAACATTTATTTCCTTTGAAACCTCCAGAAACATGCCAGAAAATCTCAAGACGGGGATGAAAACAGACAATAAGGGATAATACAAAATCCAAATGAAACAAATCATACGAAAAAAACCCTGCTCTCTTCAGCCATCAGATAGAACACCAACCTCAAATTAAATAGATTTGTTTTGCAGAAATCTTTAAAAAATAACAGAAAACCAAAAATCATAATTTACACTTGTCAATGTACATGATTAGGTCCCCAAAATGATTCGAATGATCTGAAGATATGCGGAGACAACGAAAAAAAAAAAAAAAAAAAGGTCCAGGTCAGGGTCTGAGGAAAGGGAGGGGGTGGGGCACTGGAGAACCCCCCAGAAAGGGGGCCAGGGCTGAGGACGGCTCCGCGCGGGCCGGGCCGCGGCAGCCACCTTGCGCCCGCTGCGGGGGAGGAGATGGCAGCGGAGGCTCCTCCTCAAGCCGCCAGGCTCGGCCGGCTGATCACAGGGAGACGGGAGCGCCCTCTCCCTCGTGCCCCCGCCGGGCCCCGCCCCTCCCTGAGCGCCTGCGTCTCTGCAGTCCCCAGAGCCCCCTGCCCGGAGGTTCTTGGTCCCCGAGAGAAGGCTGCGGAGTCCCTGGCCAAGGGCCGGGCCGCCTGGCGCTGGCGGGCGGCCCGGAGCGCGGTGCTCCGAGCCAGGCCCGCTCCGCCAACTCCTCCCTGCCGGGTGCCTCCCCACGCGGGAAGCTGCCGCTCGCCCACCCTGCTTCTCCCTCGAGTCCTCCCCGCGGCCCCCGCCCCCGGGGCACACGCCTGGGTCCTCGGCGTGAGGTTGGGGGATCCACAGACGTGGCCATACAGACTTGTTCTGGCGCAACTCTACATGAAAAAATAAATATATATATATATTTTTCTGTTTGTTTTTAAAGAAGGAAAAAAAGAAACTCTGTTTCCTGGGTGAACAGCGTAGTACCACACCGGCTTGGCTGCCTGGCAAGCTGCCCCTTATTGCCTTAGAGAACCAGCATCCAGTGGGGTTTGCACGTGTGGTGTCCCCGGGAGCACAGTGAGGGTGTCTGGTGGTCCCGCTGGGGGCCCAGGGAGACGGGCTGGGAGACTTGCGAAGAAAACGAAGCCGGGAGAAGACATGGCCGTTCCTCTCCCTGTCCCGAGGGCTGCGGGAGCCCCTGCTGAGCCAGAGGAGGCGAGGCTGCTGGCCAGGGCCCGGTCGAGCTGTGGACGAGGAGGAGAGTCGGCTGTGTGGCGGCCCTCCGGCCGGGCAGGCCAGGACGGCAGCTGGAAGGTGGAGGACCCCGTGGGCCCCGAGCCCAGGCGCTGTGGCCTCTGGCAGAAAAGGAGCTGATAGAAAAAGGTGTAGAAACCGTGGGAGGTACAAATAGTCTCTGTTGGAGCAGTGAGTGGCTGCAGGGCTTCCCTCTCCATCCTGGGGCCCCGAGAAAATAATTTAAACTCTAAGAAAGTGCTCCTGGCTGCTTTGTG